ACACTGTTGCTCTTTGTATGTCAGGTCCAATCCTGTTCCTATTAAATCATTTTTCATATTTTGGATTTGAAATGCTGTTTTGTGGAGTACTATGGTTAGAATTTTCATGTTGAGTCTGATTTTGCTCCTCAGATACATGCATACAGCTGCTGATATGTTATACATTGTCTTAACTGAATTCATCTTCTTTTATTCCTAATCAAACCTAATGGGACAGTTTTTTCTGTTGTTACTAAAGCAAAATTTCAACTGAAGTTCATGGAGTTTTGCTCAAGTATATACTGTGGAATCTTACCCAGGATTTATTACTCTTTACCATAGACTATCTAAACTAAAATATTCTTTTTTTTTTTTTAGGGTGATTCTGGAGGACCTCTGTCGTGTCAAAGCAAAAGTGATGGAAAATGGTTTTTGACTGGTATTGTTAGCTGGGGTTATGGCTGTGGAAGACCAAACTTCCCTGGTGTATACACAAGGGTGTCAAAGTTTGCTCCGTGGATTAACAGATATGTGCCTTTGATTTTGTAATCTGGGCCTTTGATTTTGTAATCTGGTGGAAGTGGTCAAATGGGAACAAAAAGTGCATGCTATCTGGAATATCACAATTAAAATCATATTAATAAACAGTTGGTGGATGTTCGATTTCTTTACATACATCACAGATCACATTAATGCCTTGGCTGCAAAACATCCACAGATTCTTCTTGCTGCAATAGAAAATATAGGGCGTAAGTTCAGAGGGAGAGGGAGATTTTTGTGAGTCTGTTCAGCCTAGTGAAAAAGATGCTTAAGCTAGACCCCAGGGGTGCTAGGACAAATAAGTATCAACTTGTTTGAAAGCAAGTGGGGCCAGAGCAATAGCTGCAATGGGAACTGAACATGCAAATCACAACACTTACACAGTTTTGGTAGAAGAGCCATACTTGAAGGTGAGTAGGAACCACAAGACCTTCTAGTCTGACCTTCTGTGTATCATAGTGTCTGGGTGCTAGCTCGTCTTCGTGAGCTAACTCAATAACCAACATGAGATGGAAGGAGTACAGCCCACAGGAGACTAGACTATTCAGTGCCACAGGCAGAAAATAGAAGGAACGAAAGTGCACCTGTGCTCAAAGCCCCTGCAATGGAGGGAAGTGACTGTGAAATATAACCAGATAATCCTGGCAAGTGATGCATAACTACATGATGCAGATGAAGGAAAACAAACCACAAGGTCATTGCCAGTCTGACCTGGAGGAAAATGAGAGTGAGAACCAGTCAACCTTAGTGTGAACAAGTGGAAGAGTTGGGTCCTATGGCAGCAGCGGGTGTTTCTTTTCATGCCCCTAGGATAGGTCAATCAGTATCCTAAAGAAATCAATCCAGCCTTCCTTGTGTCCTGTGAGTCTTTCCCTTGTTCCTCTCACTTCTCCCATAGTGCTTGGTAATAGTCTAAACAGTCCACACTAGTGGCTCCTCCTGTCAGGAAGGAGGAGGTAAGTTGGGTACTTATGTCACAATCGGCCCATTCATCTTAACTGATCATATCCTGCATGGTAGGAGCATGGAGCACCATCTACCTTAGTGTTAAGGTCCACTAATCTTCCTTGTCACCTCTTCCAGCAAAGAGACTGGAGTAAGTGAAGAAGAGCCCAGACTGACATGTTGGAATGAGGGTAAAGGATAGTAGATGAATCTCTTTTTCCTCCCTTCCCTCTGGCCCTCCACTTCCAAAAATTTCAGAAGCCATGCTCCGAGGGTGGTGGTGACTATTTTTTTTTTTCAATGGAGCAAGTATACTAGTTGCCTGGAAGAAATAAGTCCTTGTGCTCAGCTGGCAGCTGAAAAAAACTGCTCCAAAAATGTGCTCATGTACCTATGTGTTCACATGCAACACTTTTTCTCTTACTACAAGCTGTTGAGTACACAATTGTTACTACAAGAATTTGTCTAGAATCAATTAAAATAGCTATGAATATAATCTAATGGATTCTGAGGCCTTTGTCCTGTGTGTCTGATACTTGCAATTTGAACCTAGTCGAAGCAAGCGGTTGGTATGATCCCAAAGTGGGTCATGACCACATTTTCATGGAGTTGCCAGAGCCAATGTTAGACTTGCGGGGGCCTAAAGCCAGAGACTGAGTCTCTCCGCCTGGGACCAAGGCCCAGGCCATCAACCCTGGGTGGCTTCAGCTTTAGCCCTGGACTGTGGGGTTCAGGTTACAGCCCCCTTTTCTCCCCAGGGCTTAAGTCCTTGGGGTTTGGTTTTCCCTCCATCCCCCCCGATCAGGATAGGCAGAGATCATATGGGTTTAGGCTTCAGTCCCTACTCCCATGACCTTGTAATTTTTGTTGACAGAAGGGGATTATGATGCAAGGAAGCTTGAGAACCCCTGCTCTAAACTAATGTTGGAATTAAATGTGTGCTAAAATCTACTGCTCATCAACTTGACTTCAAGTGTAGGTGTCAGAATTGAACCTAATTTGTTGATTGTATAATTGGAGGCTGATACTACCACCCTAAAAAATAACAGTTACTACCTCGAGTATTCCCATTAAGACAGTCTGAAGGCTTCAATCTCAAAAAATGCCTGTACCCGTTTACATAGGGTTTGCGTATCTTATTCGTCAATAATTTCATCAGTGATAAATTGTTAGGCATTTGCCAATATGCTATGGCCTCTAAGCAATATTAAAGTGCTTAATAATTATTAATCATTCATTTTCATCTCAAGAAGCTTTGCATATTCTGATGTAGTTACTAGATCTGATTTCAGAATGAAAAGTAAATTTTGTGTCTGTTTTGGAAAATTTGAAATAATTTATTCTGTTGCCCACAAAAATCCAGATTCTATCAATATTTTAAATGATTGAGTGTGGAGAATGGGGTTAGTAAGTGGGAAAGCTTGCTAAAATCAAACTTATTAAGCTTTTTGGGAAAAATTTCACAAAACTGACAGATTAAAACTGGCAAAGGAAGGAAAAAAATCCAAACTTGGAAAAATTGGATGGGAGGGTACAAACATTTTGGGACAACTGCCAGGAAAAGACATTTCACTAAAAGTTTGTTGGAAAAACTGTAAAATAAAAAGTAAATTAAAAATTAAGTCCGTTTTTGAAGAGGCCAAACTTTGAGCAATTTCGCTGGGGGAAAATTCCAACTAGGCATAACATTGACATTGAAATCTAAGGTTCAAATTCTAGAAAGACTTTAATACATACTTCAGTCAGTGAGCTGAGTAGTGCTGTTAAAGAGTGTGCGGCACGATGAGAGCCTTAACTGAATATTCTCTTGTATCATTCTTAACTATACTCAAAAGAAGCAACTCATTCATAAACAAAGTTCTACCCAATGTCCAATGGAACAGCAATGTTCTCCTCCAGTGGGGCATGTAACTATGGTGGTTACATCCAAATTACAAGCAGCTTTGAAGCTTGTTTTTTCACTAATTGGTATGCTAGCTCCACATCTCTGTAGATCACCTAAGAATTATTGCCCCTCTTCTCCAAGCCCTACCTTGAAACCTTTCTTTCACCCCCATACTAGTGTGTCCACATGCCTTTATGATTGATTGAACTCTTACCTGGTGTGTTAGATTTGCTAAAGCAAGATCCGCACAGTAGAATTTGTCTTACATTTCTGAAACTTGTGCGTGTGCTGTAAAGGGGAGGTTCTCAGAGGATGAAATAGGATTCGGGTATCTAGTTGTCCCTTGTGCCTTTTGAAATCTGAATCTTAAATCTTCCATTCAACTGACAGATTATGGTACAGGTGATTTTTAATATACTCTAATCTATAATGTCCTAACTTTCATAGCCTACAAGTTCCTAAAATGCGATGCATTTAAATGGCTACAACAAAGTATTAGCATTCAAACTACTGTACTCCAATTTCTATCCCAGCTTCCTATGTAACACTGAGAAAATCATTGTGCTCCATTGCCTCAGTTTCCCCACAGTTGACTAAAATATTAAACAATCCACACACATTGTAGTTTTATGCAAAGATCTCTCTTAGCAGGCATTGTTTTGCATTCCCCAACTATACGCCTGATCCTGTAGACCATACGTACACAAGTCATTAAAAATCCGTATGCATTTTGGCTAAGTAAAGACGGCAGCAAATTGTGTACTGTAAACTTAGAGACAAGGCTTCTTATGTATTTTAATTCATTGTGTTTTAAGGGCTAAAAAAGGAAATCTAAGAGGCTTACTTCACCAGTGCTTTTTCTTTTCTTTTAAAGTTTCTTCTACTTTAAATCAGACAACTGCTAATCAATCAGTGAGACATGTATAAGATGGGATGAGAACTCGAAAGAGAAACATTTGTGTGTGGTTCTCTTTAGAATTCCTGAATCATGACAGGATAAGATTGCTTTCAAGCAAGTTCCTTCTGCATTCTATATCACTTTATCACTTTCGGGTTTACTTTTTCCCTCAATTGACTTTAGTACTGGGATCTTTAATATTATAAACATACTGCGTTCAAGGGCTCCAGATCAATTTGTATAGTGGGACTGCTTTGACCATTGAACCAAAATGTAAACCCTATTTATGATGGAAACCATGTCAAGCCACGGGATACTATTGCTGCACCCCCAAAACCTCTAGTTCTGCCACCTATGACTACATTTTCTTTAGTGATATATGCAAAATTTCATGTCATTTGTTGGGTTGCTCATTTAAAGCAATTTGCTCCAGAAAGGTAAACTTGAACTAACAATATTTGTGTGTGTATTCTTCTGCTGTGTGACATAGGCACTACGCTGTCCTTTTTAGAATTGTAGAAGCATTGTTTCTGAGGAAAACTGACCTCTCAGATCCCTGTGAATGTCTCTAGGCTTTCTATCTGGTGTCCAGTAGAAGACTGATGCAGTGAGATCAGCTTAGATTTTATTTTGTTTGTGGTCCTTTTTTGCACATGCACAGTTGGGAAATGGAAGTTTTCTCTTGCTCATGTATTCTGAAGGGAGATGAGCAGCTGATAGGCTCAACTGACTGAATGATGTGGAAAACAAAGAGTTACAGTAGTGCTGATTCTTTTCCTTCCCACCTACTTTGAATGCAGACTGGCTCTCTCTTTAATCAGTATGCTGACGGTGAAATGAGAGGCAATAGGAAAAAGTGCACCTTATTCAAGTGCCTTTCGGGATTTTGATGTTGAGAATTGTCAGAAGTGAGTCGTCAAAGCATAATGATGCAGTCTTTCCCCGCCAAACGGATCCCTGTAGTATACAGCATTCCAGCTCCCAGTGATTCTGAATGTGGATCTGGACAGGTAAGGGATTGCAACAGAGCACGATAAACATGTTTTATTCTTGGGGATGTAGTTGACTGAGTTCACAATAGTTAAAATTTGGGCAAGGAAAACTGCACCTGCTTTATTGTCTGAGTCATTGACACTTCTCCACTTGTTTTTCTTTAACAGAGTCTGAATCTTCAACATATTCGGTCTTCTCAAGAAGAAATTTCATGTCTGCAGTGTTGTTTTTTTAAACAGATGAATATGCATTTCTGGAGGGGGTGGCTTCTTGGAATTTTACCTCTGATTTCCTTAGTAGCCACTATATTTGTGTTGGTCCTGTACTATTCATTATGTAAGTGCCATTCCTTAGTAACATAATTTATTTTTCAGTACCCATTTAAGTGCTGTCTCCATTCCATATTTGGACAGGTACCATGTAAAAAGTAGGCTGCTGAGTTTTTTCACCTTGTCTATGATGATTCATGGACAGTTAAATGTGTATGGTAGACAGTGGTTAGAGAATAATGAAGGTGTGGATTGTGCTGGACACTGGATAATCACAAGGGCTGCAGTTAAGGCACTTAGTGCCTGCATGCCATTGCAATTCATTCATCTTTTCAATGGGATTGGGATCCTATTAAAAATTCCCACTTTTACTATCCAAGCCTAAAATCATAAAATTTCTAAGCTTGTGAGCCACTAATGATGAAAACTTAAATTTTTAGCAAATTGAATGTATAGGTAGAAATCTGACATTGGAAGGGAGCAGAGCACAAGTTTTGGCAAATACAGAATAATATTCTCACTGAATATTATCCTCAGCCATTGGTTAGTGGTAGATTGATTCATACTGTCATATTTTCACATACTTCAGTCGAGTAACATCAAGGTTAAATCAGTTCTTTCACAAACCTCTGCTTCTTGTATGTTTGCAGTTGTGATGGCCTATTAACCTTGTTAATGCATGATCCTGTTCCTGTAGCTCCAGCATTCTCCTTTATCTATATTGGTGGAAGTGTAGAAATACCCAACTTGACCTACACAAGTGACCTCGCTGATCCAAAGTCACAGAAATTTATAATGCAAGCAGAAACAATCCAGAGCTATGTAAGTACTCACAGGTGACATAATTAAGAACACAAAAACCTTGTATTACTCGAGTTGAAATCCTGTCTTTAAAATTCAGAGCTATAGTAGAAAACTGAGGTTTGAGTCATAGGTATCTGTTCTTTTCTTTCAAAGTAATAAAATCTAGGATTAGTCTGGGAGAGAGTCAAGTTACAAAGCTTAAGACAACTGCCCTCTTTAAGACAGGGCAAGTGGATGGGAGGCAATTCAACCTGTTAATCTGCTGTAGTGCGTTGGGAATATAATGAGCCAAGTGCAACCTTGTTGTCTTACACTAAATGGCAATATTTTTTTTTAAAAAAGACTAGTTCAAAGCTGAAAATGTTCAGCTTTTGTAAAAGAGCTAAAAGTGAACTTATTTTTTGTTCAGCTTAGATTCCCTGTACTGATCTGTTTCTGCTTGGGTGTGAGTTTTTTAATTCCAATTCTAAATTATTGCACAAATTCTATTTTGGTTCCTCTCTCCTCACCAGCACAACAATGCTTGCTTTCTTGCGCTTCTCATACAAGTTTGTATTTGTGAGATCAATACTGTTTTCTGGGTCCATGCTAGCAGAGGTCTTTAAGCACAAAGCCGCCTTCTGTTAGCCTGTATTTCCCAACAGAGTTAATCTTGTGTCTCAAAACTGCTTTGTGCGTGGCCGACATGAGTTCTCCGTGACTGGATTATAAACCAGAAATGGCAGAGTTTAAATAATGAAAATACATAAGGTAGTTTTGATTTTTTTTATATATATTTCCTACATAACCCTCTCCCCTATTTTGGTGAAAAAAATAGTTCATTTCCACTTTGTTCAAACTGAAATGGAAGTTGAAATGTGAATATTGCTTGCTATTCTTACCTGACCAGTAACTCTTACTACTCTGTAGTCACTTTTAAAATGCAATTTACTGGTGAAGTGTTAATGGCAGGATACTTGGAAAAGTTAGTGATTATCTAACAGTCTAATTTAACAATTTCTTTTCTTCTTATATTTAGCTTTCTAATTATTTAACTGTCAGTTTGCAGAACTATATGAGTCTTCTACATTAGGGGAATATTACTTGAAAACTGTTGTTGCTGCATTTAGGTAAGTCCTTTTCTAGATGTACTAAATGACATGCGTGCACATGTGCTTTTGTTTTTAATGGCTTTTCTGGGAGGGATATATAGAGTTTGATAATATGGAAAATAAAGGCAAGTTCAGTAGCATACTTAAAATCAAGGGGTAAATGTGATGAGATAAATACTTAAGATTTTTTCTTTCAATACTCATTTGTTACTGAGGAAAAGTTGATTGGTTGTGGACTGGTTTTATGCTGGTTGAAGGGATTGCTTTCAAGCCTAGACACTTTACACAGCAGTTGTCAATAGACATTTTTTGTTCTCATCCGCTATTTTGAATACCTGTTTATTTGAGAAGCCTACCAATGCAACACCTGTTGTGGCATCCTATAACAAAACTGACAGGTGTACGTTCTGATGAGGCACTTTATATAAGCACCTGCCAGCAAAGCTGGTGCATAAAGTAGAATGATCCCACAGTCAATTGCATCTGTAATTTTTTGAAAGACTGAGCTACTGGCCATTTTGGGGTGGAGTCTAGGGGCACATCTTCACTTGCTGCACTGGAGGTTGGCCTTCTGGCATTCAATTTAGCAGGTATAGTTAAGACCCATAAATGGAATACTGAGGGCAGCTCCATCCGATTCCTGTACTCCTCGCAGTTATGAGGAGTAAGGGAAGCCAATGGGTGCATTTGCTCCCATAGGCCTCCTACTGTGGGGACACTGCCAAACTTGGCTTAAGGTAAACTGACTCTAGCTATGTATTATACGTAGCTGGAGTTGTGTACCTTATGCTGGCCTTCCAGGTCTTGTGTAGACCTGGCCTAGGAGTCAAGAGGCATGATGATCTGCCTTTTTATGCACATAAATCAGTTGATCCAGCCATGGCTTCTTCATGTATGTTCCCATTCAGAGTGTTTTTCCCCCCCTCTTCACATGAGTCATGTTAATGAGGGACTATGTGGTTCTCTGGCTGGCCAGAATATGGGTATATATTTGTGATGGCATTTTTCAAAAGGCCTTGACTTCATACTATTACAGGAGTTTCAGCATTGACTTCAATGCAAGCTGACAAGACAAATCAGGGTTTCTCAAAAAGCCATCACATATGTGTCCTTAAGAAAAATTGTTCTAGAGTATTAATAAATAATAGTAAATTAAACAAAAACTTGATATCATTCTATAGATCAGGGTTTTTTTTTTTTTTTTTTAAGAATTTTCCTCAGGTAAGATTTTTTTCAGCATTTATCCATATCGGTTTTAGTTACAGATCTGCCTTTATCCAACTTGTTTCGGACTAGTCTATGGGAAAAGAGAATTTTGCAAGAGGAGGGCTCTGTCTCTCTATATACAGCAGAAGTTTTGCAGAAAGCTAATGCTGACATATACTAGCTGAGACTACAGAATTAATCAGAATCAAACTGAAAATGAGAACTGAAACTAATCTATAATATATTGTTTCCCTCCACAGCGAAGGAGAAGGTGGTCTCCGAGCTTACTACTGGAATACATTCTGGGCACCGCAAGAGATAGTTGACTCTTTCAAAAGATTAACCTCACTGAAACAAAAGGAAATAATCAGTAAACATACACTTCAGACTGCTAATTCTTCTGCTGAATCCTTTCTTATGACAGATGATTTTGATCTCTCAACAACGGATCTGTTTGGTAACAACCTATCCTAAACTCCTTCAGGTTGTGTTTTGCTCGCACAGCTGACAGTTGTTGATTTTTTTTTTTTAATTTCAGTTTCAGATTCTTCAGACTATGATGTGACATTGAAGTCAGGTAATTACCGTTCTTAAATACACAACTGTACTACTTGAAAAAAATAAGCTTTCTTTAACAAAAAAACAGTGGCAGCACCATGGTTAACAACTATTTTTTGGTAGAGTTTAAGGGCCGAATAAGAATGAGGTCCCATTATGGTAAGCTCTGTGCTAAGGGAGAAATTGACAGCTCCTGCTCTGAAGAACACACACATTAAATACAGTATATTTCTGATCATTCAAATAGCATGGGAGACATGGATTTTATTAGGATAGTTGGGAGTTGAGTCACTTGAGAGTTCAGGAGCCATTAAACAGCAGGGTGGCTTTTCCCATTTCTAAAAGTTCTTCCTCTTCCTCGCAGTCCTGGCCAGGGTCTCTGCTCTGCCTGTCTCATTCACTCCCCTGACAGGAGGCTTTCTGCACTGCTGCAGAAGCCATTCAGTAGCAGGGTAGCCCTTCCATATGAATAGGGGTAGGTTTACCTCACAGTCCTGGCTAGGAGAGTGGAAGCCCTGTTATCTGAACCTCCATTATCCAAATCCGTTCCTTGTGCCCCAGCATGAGATTCAGGCTGTAAAGGACATGTATCTCATGCTGCGGGCCAAGGAAGAGATTCAGATAATGTGGAGGTTCAGATAACAGGGTTTTGGATAACCAGGGAGTACATTGTAATAAATAGATTGTGTGAGAGAGAATTCTTTAATGGCTGGTCAAAACTTTCTCCTATGTTTAGCTTTCAAAGCCATATTTAGTAACCCCAGTACAAAGGTTTAGCTCTCAAAGGTGTTGAGAACCAGCCACTCACAAGGACTTGTACTGGGAGTGCACCTAAAAATCAAACCACTTATTTAGCTGCCTAAATATAAACTGAAGAGTTTAACTCTAGACCGCCAAGTTAGAAAAATGTGGCTGTTGCTAGTGATCCTTTTGTATGTTGTTTATAGTGCCTTTTAGGCTATGTCAATACAGCAGCATTATTTTGGAATAACTGACGTTCTTCTGAAACAACATAGGCCACAACTACGCAGCAAGCAGCTATTTTGACATAATGTCAAAATAATGTCGAGCTGGAGGTTTTCTTACTCTGACTCCTGTAATCCTCATTTCATGAGGAGTAAGGGAGGTTGGCGGAAGAGTGCTCTAACTCAGACTTCCTGCTGTGTAGACGGCGCCAAAAGCCGAAATAAGCTATTTCAACTTAAGCTACGCAATTGACATGGCTCAAGTTGCGTAGCTTATTTTAGCTTTAGCCCTGCTGTGTAGACGTGCCCTTAGTGTCCAGAATAGTAGGGGGAGAAAAATGAAGAGGCATAGGTGAGAGAGGAGGTAGGTTTTTTTTTTCCAGTTGCGATTTCAAATGATATAATGACCTGAAGAGATGGCTTGTCAAGCTAATGGAATGTGAGATGAATGGGTAGTTGGTGGAGTTTTGGTAAGAAGGTGAAATGCATGGGGATAAGGCAGGTTGTAGCAGCCTCTCTATATACTGGCTTGATGGAAGGGATAGGGGGACAGGCAGACTCGCAATAGTCAAACACAGCAGATGTCAGTGTGGATACAGTTTCCTGTTTGGTGGAGTCAAAGGTAGTGCCATAAGCAAACAATGCAGCAACAGTTGTCTGAAGTTTTGCAGAGGAAGAGAAGAGCACAGGCAGAGTCAAATAAAAGATTTGAGACAAGAGGGAGCTAAGGGACATGGATCTGTAACTGAAGGGTCCATTGTCTCAAAGAATCACTTCTGTGTCTGGAAACTTGTACCTGAAAGAGATTTAGATGATGGCGGAGTATCTTTCCTGACCCAGTTAACCCCACTGCTGAAACATAAGTCCCAATTGATAAAAGACGGAAGGAAATGACTAAAACCATTTACTTGGGGTAAAACTAAGGTGCATGTGCTTTCAGCCTTACAGTGAGATCAGTTATCTTGAGTTTTGGGTGGTGAGTTTTGGGGGTTCAAATACAACATGATTGTAATTTTGAGGGTTTCATCATTTGTATGTACTTTGGTTGCCATTATAATTTTTTTATTTAGTTAGAATTGAATGTTGTTGAATTGCACTTGCTAATGTTACAAACAAGGAGTACTCCTCTGAATTAACTCGAGCATTGCAATTTGCATTTGTGAAAGATGCTGGATTAACAGAAGTAGAAATTAGGCTTTATATTCACAGGCCAGGTAGCCAGAGCTCCCTTTTCCATACTTCTGTACTACAACTTTGTCCAAAAGGGAGTCACTTCCTATGGTATGAGACAGTATTGCAGCATGATTTCAATCCTTGTCCTTTGGCAAGAATGCCAGCCAGGTTAAGTTAATGGATATTGCCTATCTCCTAGAACTGGAAGGGACCTTGAAAGGTCATTGAGTCCAGTCCCCTGCCTTCACAGCAGGACGAAGTACCATCCCTGATGAATTTTTGCCCCAAATCCTTAAATGGCCTCCGCAAGGATTCAATTCACAACCCTCGGTTTAGCAGGCCAGTGCTCAAACCACTGAGCTATCCCTCCCCCCAGGTGGTGTGGATAGCTGCTCAATAGGATCTAAACAAAAATTGCCACAATTAATTTCTTATTTACCCTTTTGTCTACATTTTTTCAGACTCTGATTTATGTTGTCTTTTGTATAGCAGTATCCTTTGACTTGTATGCAAAGCCAGGTAACAACAGGACTTTAACTTTGATGAATCCTAAGAAATCTTTTTATCAGTGGAGGCTGCGTGTTCCTTCTAATTATATCGTGAGACTTGTAGTCCTTACGTTGCATGGTGTCACTCCAGGGAGTTGTGCATCACACAGATTATCTGCATATGATTTCCTCCTTCCTCTTCAGAACAAGATCATTACAAGGTATAACCCTAAAGGAAAGCTACTTTTTCATTGTTAAACCAAACACCAAATTGTATATGTATGCATTGCTGGCCAGAGTGCTCATGGACATGTTTGAAAACAAAGAGGATTGTATGGAATGATTAGTAATGAAATATATAAACATTAAGGAGGCTAATTCAAAATTCAGCCTGGTTTATCAGTGATCAGAAAACAGTACCAGCTGATGTTTGTCTCTTAAGTTACTATCTGAAATAAATAAGTTGTCTTGATGCAGTACCTAGCCAAGAGATTCTGCCTCATATATATCTGCCAATATTTGGCACTCAAGTTTACCTTTGTTTATGCACTCAGCAAGGAGGACAGGAGTTGAAAAGGGCAGAGACTCAGAAGTATTCCATTATGCCCTCCAAATCAGCACTGAGGCATATAGGACAAATATTGTGGAGAACTCAGTGTTGGTACTGCCCATGCTATATCTTTTCTGTGGGTAGAGATCAATTTCCAGGGCTGTCAACCCATCATGTTTTACAAGTAGTAAATCAGCTATTTAAAAGCAGAGAAGAAACATGATGGCTTGGATTCAATTCATATTAGTATCAAGCTGCTTATGTTACTGTCCGTTAAAGCTTCATGTCCAAGAAGGCATTTTTATTCCAATGATATGTATTTGGTATAAAGTATATTCAATTCACTAATGCAGTCATGTTTGCCAACAGGAGTTTCAAAAGTAGGAGCCGGATATGCTGGGAGAATTAAGTATGTGCACAGAAAAGAGAGTGGTATTGGAGAGAGCATCTATCTGCACTCTACAATACTTTTTGTTTGTTTGTTATCCATTGTGCTAGGACTACTATTTTGTTTTACAGTCCTTGTTTGGACACTAATCATCTAGCATACCTGTTCACTCACTGAATGTACCCTCAAAATTTCCATGTACCCTCAAAATTCTTTGGACTGGTTAAACACAATTAACTCTGTCCAGTGAAATTTACAGAGATGTGTCCAATGTCCATGGGTGAGAGAAGATAATTAGTTACTGTGGGTTAAGTTATTGCTATACAGTATACAGAGTTCCTTTGCACTTTGATGCCTTACAGTGCTTTCAGGACTTCAACTTGTGTGTGATCCAAAATCTCAGAGGGAAAGAAGGTTGAGATGCTTCAGGTGACCATCCCTTTCTGTATACTTGATATCCTAGGTCACCTTAGAAACAGATGCAGCTATACACATGCAGGATGGATATTAGACCTTCCCACCTTCTATTCCAGAAAATACTTGTTCTGTCCCATGAGCTAAAGGGACCTCTGTTAACTGCCCTTCGTATTCAGGTTATTCGTGCTAGTCTGTTTCTAGGCATCCAGTTCTACAGGATGACTCAACAGAGAGGGTATAAACGATTCTGAGTGCTTCCCTTAATGTACAGCGGTGAATTTGACACGGCTACAACCAAACCATGAAAGTATGAATGAGGCTGTACACTGCTGTGAGAAGTACCATAAAAATGTTCACCTCATATAAATATTGAAGACTGTTACATGCCCCACTATTCAATTTCATGATCCCTTCTCAAGTTACTGCACGAATAAAACGGGCTCAGAAACAGATCGCCAAAGACTTCCATAAGAGAGGAAAAATATCTGGACTGTTACTTCAGAGAGAAGATGAGTTGGAAGGCATTGGGTAGATGGAAATCTATAAAATAATGAAAGGCATACAGAAGGTCAGCTGAGAGCTTTGGTTTACCCTGTATCATCATATAGGAACAGTGGCTAGCCAATGAAACTTGAGGGGAGGTAAATATTCTCTTACATAATAAATACCCTTTGGAATGCGAAGGCACAAGGTAATATGGATTCAAAGAGCGTAGGACATTTTCTATTACACTAGGTAAGCTCTTAGTGGTTTGTGCTTCAAATGGGGAACACCGCTAGAATCAGCAATAACTTGTCTACAAATAAATAGATAAAGACTTCAAATGTATTGTCAGTTTAAAAGTAGTACAGACATTGACATGGGTAAGATTATCCATGTCGACTATGAAAGGTGGTATAAATTATAAGGGATATTAAACCTTGGTGCTCCAGGGTATTGACCAATCCTGTATTGCTTGGAGTTAATAAGAATTTTCCCTCATAAATAAAAACCTGCCCAACTGTCACTGTTTGCATAGCACTTAAAACAATAAAGTTCCCAACTAGTTGGCGCCTAGGCATTATCACTGTGAACAGCCTTAACAGGCCTGATTTGATATTGTAAATCTGATGACTTTGTAAAACTGAAAATCTCTATGTACCTCTTAGCAGCATCCTTTTGGCAGTGAGATTGGGTATCTTAAAACCCAAACTGAGAGTCTGAGATGGTCAATTATATCAGAGATTGGGAAACTAAAGGTCAACACATTGGATGCTCAAATGGCAAACAGTTCATTGATGAGATGAAAAAAAGCAGCAAGTGTCCCAGGGAGTTATGTCAAAGTTCAGCTGAATGTGTTGGAATAGTTGCAATCTAATTTCAGAGGACAGGCAATACAGAATGTTACTTTATTCAATTGGTGTCTATTTCAGGTGGTGTGGAGTATCAGGAGTCTGGGGTTCTCCTGTCATACGGTTAACTTCATCGAGTAATGTTATGCTGGTCACCTTCTCACTGGACAGAAGACAAGAGAGCAACATGCTAAAAGCATACTTCCAAGCTGTTCCTAAAGTTGGTGTGTATTCAAATTAATCATTTGATATAGGCAGGTTGATCCATTTAGGACGTTACTTACTTATTGAAAGTTATTGCTTCTGGATAAAAGAAATTCCCATTCTCCCTAAAGATGATTTCAAGTAGCTGAACAGAGGATAGGGTTTGAGATTCGTCCACTTGGTAGGATTAATCTCTGCTTACTACTTTAACCGTCTCTCCTAATAGTTGCACTTCTCCCTGTCTGTTCCTCACTATGTTATGTTTTTGCTCTTCAAATATGCTACTCCCAAGAGAGTGCAGTTGTCAGTCTCAGTAAAAGTCACATCACCGCTCTGCAATCTTACCTCTCTTGGTACTCCTGCCAACTCCAGTATGAGTGAAGCACACTAATAGTCTGTGATTGGAGTAAGCTTGCAGTTCTGTCTGGTTACAGTGGAATACTTTGAATTGCTATGGCCTGAGATATTTGCATTTTCTTGTACACACCTCTGAAATGAAACTAATATTAATAATTTATTTCTGACCACTTGTTTGCAATTACTGAATCTTTTCTCCTTTTGATAAGGGATTATAGATATTCATGGACAGAATTATTGGCCAAAATGTTTTGTCCCTATGGAATAAATTATAAGGAATGGCCCCTACATAACTCAGGACCCTTCAAGATGTCCCAGATTGGGCACCCAAAATTGCTAGCCACACAAATTTTGCAATGGAAATGAATGCAATTTTAAATATAATTGACATCCAATTTTCTTTTATTTCTTAATTTATGCATTGCTATATTGTCTAAAAAAGCCCCAACAGCGAATAGCAATTGTGGGGCAGGGACTAGATGATTACAAAAATGGTTAATGGGAAGTGGAGTTGTATAGTCACCTGCTCAAAAGCAGCACAAGTTTTAAAGATACACAGACTGTTTGGCTTACATGAAATTCATTGTGAATCTCAATTCAGTTTTTAGGATGATAATGTTGAGAGATCCCACACCTGTGAATGTATGTGTGTATATATGAATGCCTCCTTGCAGGCTGCTCTGTCCCATTTCTTTATTTTCTTTATGTTGAATGTTTGCTCCTTCATCCCACAGTGTAATTACAAGTGACAGTATTAGGTCAAACAGTTTTTCTTTTATTTGACTAAGATTGTTCTTTGCTGATAGGTGGGTTGGCCTTTTCTTGCTTCTCCTATAAAATGTGGGAGGATGGGGCAGTGGAGAAGGGAATTGTATAGCTTACAGAGAAGAAATAGAGTGTGGGGAAAACATGTGAATGTGGTCTGCTATAGTAGTTGCAGAAATGTGCATATGAAAGTAATTCCCATAAGTATCAATATGTACCTTGCGTTTAATTTTGTCTGAAGGATTGTATTATTGTCACTAAATAAATCAATGGGAAGCCTTCCTTCTGAAATGAGCAAAGTGTGCCTTGGGGTATAACTGCAGAAATATTAATTTTTGAAAGTAAGATGGCATAGTAGCAATACTAGCTATCACAAGTACTCAGTCATCTTGACACTTTGGGTATGTCTACACTTGCACCCTCTTTCGAGAGAGGGATGCAAATGAAGGCATTCGAAATTGCAAATGAAGCCGGGATTTAAATATCCCGTGCTTCGTTTGCATATTTGTGTTCAAGCGCTTTTTCAAAAAAGGGTTTTTTGAAAGTGTAGTTGGGGTTCTGGTTCTTTTGAAAAAAAGGGTCTTTAACCACATCTTAACAGCGTCTGTTATTTTGAAATAACGCTATTTCGAAATAGCACAATAACACAAATATGCAAAAGAAGCATGGGATATTTAAATCCAGGACTCATTTGCAATTTCGAATGTCTTCATTTGCATCCCTCTGTCAAAAGAGGGTTCAAGTCTATTTTCACTTAAACTAGTGTCAGTTTGAATTGAATTCAGTGGCATGTTTGCAGACATATACTTGTGATACTGAGGAATTTTGCCTTTAGGTGTCTTGTCTTAATACATTGGTGTAATCTCTCATTTGTGTTGCACCTCTGGTTCTAAGGGCTTCCCAAGGCACATAAATCTGTATAGTATACTGATTTTTGTTCTGCGCTTGTGTAACCCTGATGAAGATGAGAGAGCAAAACTTTCAACCACTATGCATAGCAAAAGAAGAGTAAGGATGAGGCAATGTGGTAAATACAAGAAGGAGAAAATATCTGCTTCATCTTCCACTGAAAGACTTTTGCTGCTAGGGTAGACGGATGTATCTAATACGACACAACAAAATTAAATGTTCAGAAAGTATTTGATAATAGGAAACAAAACATATTTGGTTACTTTTATCACAGATCTCTAATATGTCCTCTCAGGTACGTCTAGACTACAAGCCTCTTTTGAAAGAGGCTTTTTTGAAAGAGCTGTTTCGAAAAAGCCTTTTTCAAAAGAGATCTTCTAGACATTCACAAGACTTTTGAAAAAGTGATCCTTTTCTTGAAAGAGAGCACCCGGGTAATCTGGATGCTCTCGTTTGAAAAAGCCCCGTTTGCATTCAAGAACTCCTTTTTCCAAAAGAGCTCTTTAGAAAAAAAGGTGTTCTTCCTCATAAAATGAGGTTTACCACTGTCGAAAAAACTGTTAAATTCTTTCGATTTAATTTGAAAGAACACGACAGCAGTCTAGATGCAGGTGAAGGTTTTTTTTTTTTTTTTTTAAAAAAAAGGCTACTATTTTCGGAAAAACTTGTATAGTCTAGACATAGCCTTAGCTAATACTGCAGGGCAGCACTTGGATTCATGTACTACTCTCATTTGGAAGTTAATTATTGTAATTGCATTGAGAAATAAGAGTTGTGATCTAAAATCCCAGAATGAAGACCTAGTAGGGCAGTATTCTCTGGGAATGTAGGAAGAAGTAAGATCGCAAGTGTCATGGCCCATTTTCCTCTCTCTAGTCTGTACCTAGGGAAGAAACAGAGTGAATTGAATCCTCCTTTGAAGTGAAATTTATGTAAACATGAAGATTTATTGGTATTTTTGTCTTCCAGTCTGTGGTGGTCAGTACAGCTCTTGGAATGGGACGGTGAGCTCCCCTTATTACCCAAGCTACTATCCTCCAAACATTGACTGCAGCTGGCTAATCCAAGTAAGTCTTAACAACTCTTGAAAACATAATGGAAATCACGACTGCTTGTGTTTTGCATATCAGAAGTAAAAATGGGAGAGCGGGCCTTCCTTTGAGGCTAAAACCAAGGAATCCATGCCAAATACTCTAGTAGCCATTTTGCATCAATGTGGTGGTTAATGGATTGTTTTCATCTCTGCTGCAAACTGGGGTTCAGGTACCTCTGCAAATGGAATGTGGGGGATTACAAAATTAGTCAGTGGTAGATGCAAAATAGTGGAGTAGTAGGCCTCTGAGTTTGTTCTAGCTTGGCAGATCCTATTAGTGTCCTCTCTTGACCTAGCAGTTAGTGCATGTTTGCCGCCTTGCTGGGTTATTTCAACTGGGAGGTGAAATGGATGATATAAATCCTGTGTTACTTTGGTGTAACCCTGTGCTTTTGCAAATTATGAATACACAGGCCTGCTTGCTTGAACACAGTAGGAAGAACCAGTTAGTCATTTCTTTGTCTGCTTTTCCAGCAGATGTGTCCCAGAGAAGATCTGCCTCTTGGGGCTGTGTGAACTACTACTTCTCCTACTTCTTGCTAGCTTTCTCATTGCTTCCTCCTGTGGATGGCTGTGTTTCTTTTGCCCCAGTGTTTGCAATCAGTCCCATGGAAATTCTGCAACTCACTGGCCTCAATTTCTGATAGGCTTTGCCCTGCAACCCCATTGCCTTGGGTGTTGGCTTACAATTATTTCTGGCAATCATCTGAAGATCAAATTTCTGCTTGAAGGCAGCTATTGAAACTTGACAGTATAACACTGTAAACTATGCATAGGACCCTAACAAATCCTGGCTGTGAAAAAATGTCACATACTATAAGATCTGCCAGGGAGAGGCAGGGATGAAGGTGTCTCAGCCAGCGATCCTACTATGTTCCAGTCTCACAGGGAATCACAGGGCTCCACTGGATCTCTTTCCGCCTCCCTCCCCCGCTAAAAAAAATGATGACTCTTCCCCCCCCAATATTGTGCAATCCTCATTCTGCATTACCTGCTGCCCTGTTCTGAAGGCAGCATCTCTATCAGCAGCAGCACAAATAAGGGTGGCAATACCACAACTGTCTTACAACAGCCTTACAGTGTCCCCACAAGCCTCTTTTGGGTCAGGACCTTTATGGTCACTACACTGAGAAACAGCAGGTGTAAATAGTTGAAATTGGGAAATGGACTTTTTTTTAAAGCGAGCATTGCGGAGGGCATTAATTTGGTAGGGCCCTATTTATGCAATAGTACTGTCATCTATAAGGGTTCAGGAGGAGAATGTCAAAGAGACAAATGGCAGTTGGGCTTCCAGCTCCCTGACAGACCAAAGAAGTTGTGTGCTTAATTGCCATTTACGCCTTGTACAATCTCCTTTTTCTTACATACCTTCGTTCCTTACTGCCGAGAGTAGGCAGTGGGTATTTTCTTTTATAATCTGATGATGGCGATGTCATTAATGAATGCCTGACCATTTGATTTTGAGATAATAGGACAACATTTGTCAATCATATTTAAACTCGTTGGGTTTGTTTTGTTTTCTTTAATGATTGTAGGCACCCCTGCCTGGGTATAAGTTATCGCTAAATATCCTTGTCATACAAATTCAAGAGAAGTCTCCAGGGTCCAATAAATGTGATAAGGACTGGTTAGAAATAGATGGAGTTAGGTAAGTTAAAACACTCTTTTATTTGACATTAATTAACAATATTCTGAGAGGACACAACTTACCATTCTATAAAATATTCTGTGCTAAAATCTTGGATTTCTCCAGCAACTTCCCTAGTCTGGCACCATTGGCACCTCACCAGTCATGAACGGGGGGATTTGCCAGGCCTTGAGTACATTTAGACCACCGGGTTGTTGTTTTTTGAAGAGGATATGCAAATTCTGTGGGAATTTACATATCTTCTTCCTATCGCTTTTTCGAAAGTGGGTCTTTCGAAAGTGAAAGTAGTCTGTACGCAGGTTTTTTTTGGAAAAAAGCCCCTTTTTTCTTCCTAAAAAAAAGGAGGTTTACATGGTTTTTCGAAAAAGGGTTTTTTTTCTGGGGGGAAAAAAACAACCCCGCATCCAGACCTTTCGCTTTCAAAAGACCCGCTTTTGAAAAAGCGATCGGAATAAGATATGCAAATTCCCGTGGAATTTACATATCCTCTTTCGAACCCCCCCCCACCCCCCCAGTTTAGACGTACCCCAGGAGAGGTACCTCTCCTCATGGCCCATGCTGCCCCTGGACTTCAGCCTGACCCCGCTGCTGCTCTGGTCCCCTGAGGCTCTTGTGCTGCCACCAGCCCCGCTGTTACTGGAGCTCTGGGGCTGGAGTTCTGCAGGCGCTTGGGACCGTGGCTACGGCTGGAGCTCTGTGGGCGGAGCCAGAGCTCTCTGGCTGCAGCTCCCCACCTGGAGGGATGCTGGGGGCAGCAGCACTGGATCTCCTGCCACCCCATTTACTTTCCCTGCATGTCCTCTGACCCTGCCTGCCACCCCAGTGTGATTTTAAATGCCTTGGGGGAGGGGGAGCCACGGGCAGTGCAGTAGAGTTAGAGTAGCTTCTGGCTGCTCGCTCACCCCCCGGATGCTGTCCTGTGTCTTCCTGCAGCCAGGAGCACAGGGGCAGAGTCTCTGTGCACTGCTCCAGCTGTTATACTTTTAAAACTTTAGGCTCACTGAGAACCAGGAAATCCATTACAGACAAAATAGTTTGGAAAAATATAAAGGTTTCATCCGAACCATATTACCATCTTAAAATGTTAATCGTTTTGTACATGTAATAGTAAGGACAAGATACAGTAAAATAACTCCTATAAAAGTGTAAAGGCTTAGTGCAGTTGGATTGTGGTTGTAATGATTGTGTTCTGCACTTGCCAGATATTGTAAAGCTATTGCCGAAGGCAAGAGAAACAAGGAATATGGCGATTCAATTGTGATTAATTTCCATTCAGATGAACTGGTCACCCACAGAGGGTTTTATATTGAATATAAAGCATTCAGCCACACGGACCGTAAGTGCATACAAGTTCACTTTGGTTTTTGTAAGGGGTCCATGTTACAACTTTGGGGGAAACCTGGCTTAGAGACCTATGTTCTACACTCTCACTCATAGCAATTGTGGAATGAACAGGAATTGTCCTTCTGTCTGATTGGTTGCTGAATCCTGCCTGTCGGGCTCAGAGGTGAGGGAAAAATGAGTCTCTGCTGACTTGACCCAGGCACAGAGAACAAAATTTCAGGTAAACGGTATTATAACTTGTCCCTAAGACCATAGAGGCAGGTGTATGCCAGTTATGAGGCAAGAACACTATATGGTTACTAACAAAACTTTCTAGTAATGATACCCTTTAGGGGACCTGAGTGGTCCCAAAGGAGGGAGTTTGCTGGACCAGGGGAAGTCAGGTATGGGCCCCTCCTGGCCACCAGCCCAGTCAGTGTACTGCTCCCGGTAGGTGGCTGGGCTCCACTACCAGCCGCCACTCCACTCCAGCCAGTGGGGGCCCCCACCTCCAGCCAGTGGGGGGCTTCCCAGCTGTTGGCAGCCCAGGTGCTCTGTGTTGCTGCTGGCCGAGTTCACTCTCAGCTGGCAGGGCTTCCTACCTGTCCTGCTCCCGCTGGCGGCTGCTGGCTAGGCTTCCTGTTCCCAGGCCGCTGGCACTCCAGGCTGCCTGCCGGCTGAGCTCCCAGCCACTG